CCGCTCTTAGTCTGACCCGTCACCCAGGACCTGTTTGCCTTGGGAGACCCTACCAGGGACGTATAGCCCCCGACAACATAGCTCCTAGGATCACTCGGGTACTCAAACCCCTCCACCACAATAAGGTGGCGGTTCAAGGAGGGGGAGAATGCCACGTTAAATGCTGGCTGTGGAGGACAGAAGGCAGGCAGAACTGAAATGATTGCTTTTCTCCAAATTTATGTTTGACAGTTTGTTAGTTTTTTACTTGTCTGGGTTTTTATTGCATTACAGTAACAGGCACTCATGTCACTTTCATTTTTTTTTAATCCCTTAATGTTTCTCTATAACCCTGCCAGGCTAAGCTGGGAAACAGCTGGGTGAGTCCCAACGTGGGTCACCTCATCCTCAAGTACCTGTGTCCAGCCCTGCATGACGTACTGCAGGACGGGCTGAGGGCCTACGTACTGGACCTGATCATTGGACAGTGGCGCTGTCAGCCCTGGAGCCTCGTGGAGGCCTCCACACAGCTGGGTGGGTGCAGTGGAGGGTAATGTCGCATTTCTGGACAATTTATATGACTCCCGTATGTCCACAAGGCACTGGAGATACTGCATGCTTCACTGAAGGTTTGATCTCGTTTATGGCTTATTTACCTAAACAGCCAGTTTCATCAACATAACACTTATTATCCCTGATTACCTGCAATAACTGGTCGGCAGAATTGCTGGTCCTACCTTCCATATATCTAAAAACCACACCTAGCTTTTTAAAAATCATGTTTCAAAACCTGATTTAAGAACCTCCTGAAGGTTCTTTGTGACATCACACTGAGGGGCAGGTAAACTGGTTCGTTGTGTCAGAGTAGCAAGGAGCCCGACAAGCACTTAAACATCATTAACTGCATTATCCGCCTTCACAATGGAAAGTTCTGTTTCCACAGTATAAATTTATAATGCAGCCTAATGTTGCCATGACTGTTTTAAGTTTGAAAGTAAAGGCAGAACTCCTCAGTCAGAGAATGGGCCCTATTTTAAAAAGTAGATGGGTCATTTGATTTTAAAATGTTCTGTATAACGTTGCACAAAAAGCAGCCATATTAGTAATGAAGTTGGCGAACAATTAGGCCACGATGCTCTATGTATAGTGAGGTTTTTGTTTATCCTTGTTTCCACCAGGCCCGTCCACACGTGTCCTCCACAGTTTATACTCTAAGGTGAGCCAGTACTCGGAGCTGTCCAGCCACAGCATGAGACTCAACGCCTTCATCTTCGGCCTGCTCAAGTGAGTCTCATATCATTATTCCACTGTCACCAACATGATTCTTAACCTAGAAGACAGGATCTTTAAGAAGGTCAGGGGATAATAAGGGAGACTCAAACTAATTACGTTAGCAACCTCAGATTTTTACCAGATCTTGATATCGGCCTATGAATGGAAAAAATAAAACCTTCAGTTGTAGTTTTAATATATACCAAGGTCTCCGGTTAAGCAAATGCAATATGTTAACCTTAAAATCAGTGGTGGTAAAGGGGCCGGCTTTTTATTAGACTCTGATAACGAACTGTCTGCAGGCTTTTCCATGCTGCCCACACCACCCCTTTTAATTCTGTAGGGTGGCTCATATTGTGTGTGAGATCTCCTTGGTCTCGATGTGTCAGCTTATTGTGGCTTTTTTTTTTTTTTTTTCCCTACCAGATTGAAAACAGTTTTGAACCAGATCAGTATTATATCAATAACTGATTCAGTTGTGAGTGTAATCATACTTCAGATTTGGCTGGAGGAGAGCGATGGTGCTTTTATGCTGCTGCAGTTTACATATCTGATTCATCTTCAATTTCAGCCTGAAATCTTTGGAGTTCTGGTTCAATCACCTCTACACACATGAAGGTAAGACCGTGCATCATGTATCCATCTTCAGACACCCAGTTTTTGTTAGATGCCCATACATTTATAAAGCCATGCCTCTTGTGAGTCTTGTCCTGATCTTCTTCCTTCTTTAACTTTCTTCAGACATTATAGCAGCACACTACAACCAGTGGGGGTTCCTTCCCCTGGCACAAGGGGCATGCCAGCCTCTCTTTGAGGAGCTCCTGCTCCTCCTGCAGCCACTGTCACTCCTCCCCTTTGACCTGGACCTGCTGTTTGAGCCGCACCTCCTCCAACAGGGCCAGGAACACCTGCGTCGCAAGGAGCAGCTGTGCTCTGCGGGCCAGAGTGGGGATCAGTCAATTCACTCCACCTTCCAGCTCATGAGAGCATGGAGTACCAATGTCAGCGAAATGGTCTGGGACTCGAGTGCCAAGGTGAAGACAGAGAAGGCGGTGCTGAGACGAGAGGGAACTTGGCCGAGAATGGAAGAAGAAAAGATGGAGCAGAAATGAAGTCAGACACGAGTAAAGAGGGAGCAACAGCTGAGAGCATAGCAGCCGGGCTTGTTAGCAGACCAACAGGGATGGAAGAAGGGTTTGCCAATCTTTGGAAGGAAAGGGGGATGGGTGGGCAGAGAGTGAAAGGTGTAGGGCAAGAAAGCCAAGGAGATGGTGAGGATGGACAAGAGAAGCGCAGGAAGAAGGACAGAGAGAAGGATGTGGTGAACGAAGGGCGTCAGCGGCATGACAGACAGGCGGGCTGGTGGTACCAGCTCATGCAGTCCTCACAGGTCTACATTGACCAATCCACAGAGGGGTCAAAGTTTGTCAAGGCCGAGAAGAGGAAGAAGTCATCAGAGAGACGACAGGGCCAACTCCCACCCACCAGAGAGGGAGTGGTGGAGGGGGCCGAGGCCAGCCAGGAAGGGGAGGGAGACAGAAGAAGAAAAAGCAGCAGCAGCAGCAGCAGCTCCGGTGGGGAGTCAGCCCGATCCAGGGGAAGGCCTTCATGGATGGGCAGCCCCCCAGAATCTGTTCTCACCCAGGAGAAAGAGACAAAACCTCTGGAGGTTACAGGAACTACAGCCCAAGCTGCAGCTCAGGAGGAGAGCCCCTCCCAGGGACAAAGTTTGCGCTGGGGCAGGCTCTTTGGATCCAGCGTTGGCTCGCCTTCTCGAACAGAGGGGCCTGAACAGAGGGTGAAAGCTCAAAAGACCAGGTGAGTCTAAAGATACAAGATACATTTTTCTTACCATCATCAGATTCCATTGGAAGACCTGCACCAAGATTGGTTTCAGTCCACAGCAGAAAACAGGCCTTGTTCAGCAAAGGCACCGTTTCCTCCTGCTAGGGTAACGTGCTGAATCCAGCTGTGTTAGTTTACTGAGCTGTTGGTAAAAAATGAAACGGAAAAATGAAGTATTTGTCAGCTGTTTTTAAAGATTTGTGTCTTCAGTAGGAACAAACGTTACATACCTTTTGTTCCCAATAAGAACATTTACATAAACCACTGTTACAGTGAAATTTACATCTTTCCCCACTATATTTGTCTTTACAGGCCACCATCGGGTTGGCTGGGTCTGGACAGGTCGGTTCTTGACCTTGTAGGTCAGACTCTGTTAGCAGGCAGTGGGAAGAAGGCAGAGCCTCCAGCTGCACCCACTCACAGCCGAAACACACCAGTACCAACATCGAACCAAGCAACTGAAACCAAACATCATTCTCCATGGTAAGCAGATCCTTTACACTGTGTGCCATTAGGTCAGAAATCATCAGGGATCATTCTCAACATTAATTCATCCAGTGTTTATTAGCTCTCAAAGCAGAACTAGAAAAAGTACAAGTTCTTTAATTTCAAGACTTGGCAGAACAGCAAATTTTAGTCTAATTTGATTTCATTTAAATTTTGGATTTTATCAGCGTGTCAGTGGTTCTAATGGCCTTTACAAGTACCAATGTTAACCTTTAAAATGCCAGAAAATAGTGAAAAATGTCCATCATGTTTTGCAAAAGCCCAAGATGATGCCTTCAGGTTGCTTGTTTTCCAACCAACAGACCAAAACCTGAAGAAAAACGCACAAGACAAAGAAATGCAGCAAAAAAAACACACTTGAGAATCTTGTGATTTGACTGGTTTGAGTAATCACTTCCAAAATAGTTGCAGATTAATAAATTAATGTCGTTTAATAAAACAACAGTCTCCATGGTAAGCATTTCAGCTCTACTCACCTTTTCTCTTCCTCAGTGAAGTACGGGCGTTGTGCCACCACATAGCCACCGAGCCCGGCCACCTGAGCTTCAACAAGGGTGACATCCTGTGGGTCCTGAGCAAGGATGATCCAGACTGGCTGCTCTGTTCGCTGGGCTCTACCCAGGGCCTGGTGCCCATCGTCTATGTCACCCTGAACAGCATGGAGTACAGCCAGGATGCCACCGCACATGGGCAGTGCTGAACTAAAGCTGCCACCAGATAGCAGCAAAGTAAAAAGTGAAGGAAAACCACCCCGGAGACAGAGTGCCTCCCTGCCACGTACTGTACCTACTGCTGTTTCAAACTGTACTCAAGAGTGCTCCTGAGAGAGAAATATTGTAGAAAATATGAGATTATGTACAGACACAAACAAGGGAATCACGCAGGCTCGAACACAAACTCCCATCTACTGCAAGGGTACACCCAGACCAGTGTGCATGCATACATCTAAAACCAAAAGACGAGAGAAGAAACAAACCAAAACTCTCATGCACATGCTTCTAGCTCTGTGTGAAGCTGTGCTACTTGCTTCACCATGTGACTGTCCACTCTGTATATCCTCCATCTTTGCTCTCAACAAAACAAGGAGAGTCTACTCACAGATCTTCACTGTAAACCATGCCTAGCTGCACTCTGCGCTCACCTAGCTGTGCCACACTGTGAACACAGTGCTCAGTGGTACCTCCTAGTCGTAAAACAGGTTGGTTTGATGTCCTGTTGCTTATTTAGTGCCAACTGATCTTCTTCATTGATGTAGAAGCCAGTGAATCCCTGCTTTTTTTGGTACCATTTTAGGGTGGTTGAGCAAAGCAAAACTTCATACAAGCAGAGGTGTGATTCAGCATATTATTGTAACAGAGTAGAAAACCACACTGGAGTTTAAGTGGCTGTTTCAACCCAATTGACAAGTTTAAAAAAAGTTTAAATCTTTTTCCATTCCCCATCTGTTTAACAAGATCCCTGCTCATCAAGGCCAGCTTCTCTGGAGATGTGGGGTGGATGGCCTGTCAGGCACATGGCCGCCTTTCTCCTTTTGCTCACAGGGTCCACCACAACTGGAACAAATCAGTGGTTGACTTTAAGTGCATGTAACCTTGCAAAACTGTTGTCTTTTCTCCTATAATTTACATGTGCATTTGATCTGTTGGTACATAACGTAAATGCGTATATGACTTGCACATGTGGTAAGTTTATTTATTGACCTGCTCCATTAGCTGAGGGAGTCAGCTACTGTCAAAGGAGAGGTGCAGAAAACAGGGAAGGATGGCCAGTGAAGGTAAAACAGAGCTGTGGAGATTTTGCCCCCCAACCTGAAAATTCTTCATAATTGCTAAGTAGTTTCATTAGTTTAGAAAGGGGCAAATGATTGCCTCTATGCCTTAAAGCACTTCAGGAGAAAAGGAGGGATCTTATTGTTGGACACTTGAAGGATTCGTCCAGTATATTTTGTATATTCTGACTTGTCTACCTTGACTTTTTCCCCAGATCTACGTCTACACAGATTCTTGTAGCTGTCAAAGAAAAATATAGTGAAGACACAGGCGTCTGTGGTGATATTTTTTTGATGTTTAAAGGGAAACTCCAACACATTTTGTGATGGCAGTTTTATGGGCATCCCTGTGTTGCCACTGTACCGGTTACAGCCAGGTGCAAAATGGTAGGTTGAAAATAATTAGTCAGAGAAATAAAACTATGGTTATATACAGCATAAAGAGGTTGATATAGATGCCCAGTTCAAATATTACACATTATAAAATGGTAAAATCAGTGTACATTTATTACATAAATGAATGCTTGTGCAGCTTTTGAAAAACATACCTAGGATGCCACTTTAATTTTCCTTTTGTTGTATTATTGTACAGTTATTTATATGTATGATTTTTAACATTTAATTTCAACACAATATTTCAGTCATTGAACTGTAAATTATATTTAAATCCTTCAGTGGTTAATTTCTGACAGAGCTACAGTATATGTATGATTGTTAATGCATTTTATGTTGTATACAGGATGCAAATATAAGCTTTAGGTCCAGTGCTAACAACCTGCTGACTAGAACTGTGGTCGTGGAGCTGTCATCCATGGCACTGATTAAACCAGAGACGTGGAGGCTCAGGGCTCAGAGGCAAAGATGCATTTGATTTGGCGTTTGAGCTGAGACGTTGCGCTTTAAAATGCTACTCATGTAGGAGTGACCTGAGGAGGGAAAGGGAGAAGTCTTGTGCCTTCTGTCTTTGTCGGCCTCCTCCTGCCTGTACATACCTTAAGCATCAGCACTGCTCTGCGCTCTGTGTCCAGGCTACATGATGTGTACCATGACATTATCACAATACTATGGATGTTAAATAACAAAGTGCTCATGTGATTACAGTTTAAATGGCTCCTGTGTCTTTTGTCTTTACCGCAGTTCACAGCTGAAGTGGTTCCCCACCCAAAACGTTTTGATATGGAGCGTTCTGTGTAGAAGGGAAAGGTGAGGGCTGTGGATTACCAGAACACCAGGAGAAAGGTTTCACAGTGATTCCAAACTTAACTTTTGCCAAAATACAACCAGTTCATGGATCATATTTTCTTTGTTCTAGGCCACGACTCAAACCACATTGAATTTGTTTGTTAGTGTCAGTTGCTATTAAAATTCACTTATTGGCACCTGAGTGTTTGGGACATTGTATGCATGTGGGTGGAGAACAGAAGTGATTTATGCTCACCAGAGCCAGAAGGATGCTGCTACTGGTTTTGTTTTGTGCTTTATACTGAAAAGGTCAGGGTTGGTGAAGTGTAACTTCAGTATTTCATATACAGATCATAACAAACTATAAGTAAATGTGTGGGCTGATGCTTGTATTTAGCAGCTTCTTAACAAGAAACCAGAAAATGTACAGAACAACACTCTCATGCTCATTTACAGAGATCAGAGTTGTACATTGTCAGAATGACAGATTACTGAAACTTGGTCCAAGAAACATCATGCTCTGATTGCTGAAATGCTGGGTTTACTTATTATATGACAGTGTGAGGCTAAATAGACCAAAAAGCCAAGCATGTACAGCAGTGGTGGGATTGAGAGAATGCAAAAAAGAAAACCAAGGATCATTTACCCATTTTCATTGGCCACAGAGGGAAGCGTGTCATCGACAAAGGACAACAAACATGATGAGGGTTTGGAAAAACTGGGCTTTATTTTGGAAAAATAATTCGAGAAGGATCCATGCTAGTAAACAAGCACTGCATGAATAGTTAAACTTAGCAAACAGTTTACACACATTCACTTTTTAAATTTCTTCCACGATCCATGGTTTTATAAACAATAAACTCCATAAAAAAATATAACAATCTCTTAGCAAACAGTTTACACACATTCACATTTTAAATTTCTTCCACAATCCATGGTTTTATAAACGATAAACTCCATAAAAAAATATAACAATCCTTCAAAAGTGTTTTTATTGCAACTTCAATGAATATAATTTTGTAAAATATAATGGATAGGAAGGGTCCCTATGGCTAATCTTATAGTTTTATTTATATAGTGGTTTGAACCCTCATGTCTCCTCCCTGAGCTGTAACACTCCGCTCTGGCTCTGTTGTTGTGGCTGAAGTGTCACAGTCTTCCCAGGGATCCCAGGTTACTCGGGCTTCACTCCATTGCAGCGTTTGCCCTGTAGACACACAGCGCACATATTTAGAACCCTAAGCAGTCAATTAATCATTCCTTCAAACTAAAGTTCCTCCCAACTCATGCTACATTTTAAATAAACACTAGTAAACTGCTTTACAGACCAGAAAAGAAGGCAGTAACGCTCTTATGTCGCCACGTGCATTTCAAAATAAAAGCACATGACTATCAGAGAGTGGGAAGGTTTGTGGCACTTGACAAATGTACAGAAGACTAGAAATGAACACAGCATCTTTCAATAAATATTCAAAAATACCTTTTGATTCTGGATCTGGTTTAATTTACCAAATATAAAAGAAGAAATTAATATAAGTACAGTGAATATGTGCAGCTGCAGATGAGGGGTGCTTGCTATCTTTGATTCATCTTGATACCCCTCTCATGACTCTGTTAAGTGTGGAGGCAGAGACAGGAAGTGATTTGCAGAACACCCAGAGTGAAGGTACCTTGTAGCCATTTCTCTTGCACAATTTCTTTAGCTTCTCCACGTGGATCGTCAGCTTTTGGACCCACAGTTCGTCAGCAGGCACACAGAGAGTCCTGCCATTCCTGGTCACCAGACTGCAGGAACACCAAATCATCCAGGTCAGGGTGACCATGTGATGCAAAGTATTTCTGTGTGTGTGTGTGTGTGTGTGTGCATTGTGATTCATCCAACACACACAGCCTGAACTTACATGGTGGCATCGATGGCGCAGCCTTGTCCACTGATCTGCTGGCGGTAGTCTGCAACCAAAGCTTTAGCAACTTCTTTGTTTTTGACTGTCAAGCAGCAGTCCATGGGTATCTGTGCCAGTGTCACTGAAAGACAAAACAGATCAGATCAGCATAAAACCACCCCCTCACAAAATCAGCATCATTGAAAGTCACCCACTGTAGGGTGCAAAGGTATCTGTGAAAAGGCTGCTGGCTACTTCTTCACAGAGAACTGATTTCTACAGATCAAAGTTACAATCAGCTCCAATAAATGATCAAAACATATACAGAATTTTTTTTTAAAGCAGCAAAATACCTTTGTCCACTGCCCATCTATGTGCTCAGCGTGTCTGGACATTATCTCACCACAACATGACAAATCCATGGCTTTTCTGTGAAGCTGGTACCCTTCTGAAAGCTTTGAAGCTCCACCAGGAAAAGTAAAATTATGTTTTTGCTAAATGATGGCTAATTAGAAGCATATGAACAGATAGTGCAGATTTTGTGGAGATGGATTGAGAAGTTCTGATACCATTGAACTGTTGCATGTTAATACATGTCAGCAGTAAAATCCACTGCAAACAATGTACAGATGTTCAGTTGTACAGCTTTTAGGCCTGCAGAGAATTCTACTGCATGAAAAACGTTTTGTGTACATCCCCAAGGTACTTTGTTTATGAGGTTATTATGCTACTCGCTGTGTGTGTGAGAGAGAGGGTGAAGAGGTGTGGTAGGTTTTACAGTGCTGAGGTTTTATAGCAGGGTAACAATACCTCCTTTAAACCTTAAAAGAAGCATTATGCAAGATTCATTCAGTGTGGCTCCTGTGAAACAGGCGCAGGCGCGCTGTGTGAACTGATGTGTTCGTCTCAAGATTTTCCAGTTATTCCTGATAATGCCACATATAATTAATATTTCACATAATGAGGGTGAAATGTTGCACTTGTATTCAAATCTTTTCTTGGAGCATCTCATCAGTGTGTGAATGTTTTTTTTGTACCGTAAATGGTTTTATTCTTCTGCCAGCTCACCTGATATAATAGTTGTGTATGCATATACTCTATTGTGACATAATGCCTTTTAAACACAATTTTACATCATTCAAATTTGAGAGTTAACTGTAATTTTTCAAAAATGCCCAACATCACCTAGTTCAAGCTTTGTTTATTTAACAGTTTGCTTTTTTTGTCTTATTTCATAGTAAATATCTTTGAGTGCTGGACTGCCGATCAGATACAACACGTTTAATTAAGTCATCTCAGCTCTTGGACTATTTTTCCCTAATCAATTATCGGCCAGAGCATTGGTTTATTAATCAATAAATTGGCAGAAGTTTATGTTCTAAGTTAATCAATAATCAAAAGAGTCTCTGTCCCTATATCTGTAAACATGGACAGTAAAAATAGTTTTAGCTCCTTAAGAGTGCTGCTCGAGGGCTGCTTATCATTACACAGGGTGCAGAGACATCTGCTCTGACACATATCACAGCTACACACTCCCCTACACACGTAACAAAAGTTGTCCCATCCATTTGTGTCACTTCACTGGGAATCCCAGTCACCTTTAACTCTCACCCACTACAAAGTGCAGAAACTGATAGTAGGAGTGGGGATTTCCAGGAGCACGCCCTACAAAATGAGAAGGCTAAGGCATTCCAGCCTCACTGTTTACTTTGCTACTGTGTACTGATAAGATGTTGTTTAATTTTGTGCTGCATAGTTTTCAGGCTTTTAAAGCTGTTTAGCACTTTAAAAATATTCAACTTATTCTGCTCAATATTTACTTTATATATTATACATTATTTTCTGCACCTTTATCTAATCAATATTGGCATTTGTTTTTTCAATTCTACTATGACTTTGGCTACTTCTTTCTGCTCTGAAAGGCACCGGTTGCATGTGTCCATATTGGAATGCACACAGACTTCAGAACCAGTTCATCAGTAGAGACAAACTCAGAAAGCTGAATTTCCGAGTGGAGAGAAGGATGCGTACTTAAACCTCAAACTTAGTCCAGTTGTTGAACTTCTTTTTCCGGCTCACTTTGCAAGCCTCCCTCTGGACCCATTCCAAATGGTTTTGTTTAGATTAATTGCATCCTGTTATCTAAGCTGCTATGCTTAGCCTGGCAACAAGTCATTTCTCTTTCTGCTACAGAGACATGAAAGGTAAAAAGCGTTATTGTTGTTGAGCCAAGGAGCGCACCTGAGAAAACTCACCTGTGCAGCAGCAGGTGATGAAGAGGATGCAGAAAAAGAGCTTGGCATCACCACACGGAGCCATGTCTTGTTGCAGAGCTGGTGAGTCGTTTCTTTGGATGTTGGGTGGCTGATGAGAAATGTGTTTTTCTTCTCAGCACCTGTAGTGGCAAAGGAAGGAAGTGAAGTGATGTTCTGTCCACCAACAGTATTTATGGTGTCCACTTAGTTTCACTTTTTCTTTTCCTGGTGCCTCCTCCCTCCTCCTCCTCCTCTGCCATATAATTCTTTTTTGTCCTCTTTCAACAAAGAAAAATAAATCCCTTTATCAGCTTTGAGTTCAGTTCCCAGCAGTGGTCAGACATCTTCTAACAGAACAGGAACACTTTGATTCACGCCCCCTTCTGGCCACAGACATTTCTGTAATATCTGAGCTGTGTACTGAGACTAAAAAGACTCCTTGACAGTTTCCTTTCACTGTGGAACAGAGACCTTTTGACAATCACAGTGACCCTCACATGGAAAAGCAAATGAGCCCTGACAATCCCTTTGAGAGTTGATCTTTGTGCTGCTGTTTGAACTTTGTGACTTAAATTTTTGTAACATTTTCACATATTCCAACCCTTGTAAAAAATATTTCTGTACAGCATCAGTTGAATGTGGAAAGTAGCTGAACAAAAAGCAGGACACGTGTGCTGTATCCTGTGCTCTTTGTAAGGTTTAGGTGACGGAAACACAAAGAGAAAGGTTAACTTGATTGGTTTTAGTTAAAGCATTGCATTTTTAAGACAGCTGGGCCTTCATTATTTGTATGCACTGTTTGTGAATGAGGCCCAATGCGTACTCTGTGTCACTGTTCACCAAAAGAAAGTACAGATTTCTGCAGCAGCATTTGGTGTAATAAGAAATCTGTCATCATCAACACCTTTTCCCTCGTAGTAACCATACACAGTACTGTTTTCTCTGTGTTCCAAATATTTGTTTTTTAGAGTTTACCAGCCTGTTTAATTTCCTTTAAAAACTTTATGATCATAACACAATGAGTTTAACGCCTTCATGTTATTATAAATGTAAGACCAAATATAACTAGAATGACTGTTTTGATGTTGTATGCCTCCGCCAACCAGTCAGATTCATGAGTACTGGACAGAAGTGACGTTAATCTGCAGCGATTTATTCCTGCAGGAAGGAGGGTTCTCTGAACAGAGTGTCTAAACCAGTCTGTTGCAGGGAAGCTCAATGAACAAAATGTGACTGCCTTTCTTATACCCAGCATACTATAACAGAAAACAGATGCTCAAATAGATAAGTCAAATAGGATATCATTTACAACGAAATACCAGCCCTTTGGTCCTAGGTCATATCTGGTTTTGCTCTCCCAAGGGCATGCAAAGGTTTACGATCATGTGATAAACATCTAGTAATACATAATCACTAAAAGGGTGCTATCATAAAAATGCGACTACAACAACAGATGGTTAGGAATTCAGTCTGTAATCACATAATCTTTGTGCATTTAAAATACGGTGTTGATCATCATGAAGGCTGCAGACTCCCCCAGTTTGTTAGAAATCTGCTCTGTAGAAATATCTATTGAATACCTTTCACATTACTGTAGACTCTGACCCTGTCAGGATCCAGTGCTCACTCAGTTTTTCCAGTGATCTGATCGGTTGGTGCTCAGGGCGTTGACAGGTTTTGATCCCATCCTCTGAAGTTAACCTGCTCCAGAGCAGGTCAGTCGTGCAACAGAAGTTACTGTGGTGATCTATCCCATTTAAAAGTGAGCCAGTGGTACAGTAGCTGGAAAAACCACTAATCTCATTCATCCCACTTTGTGCTACAGGCCCCTGAGATATTGCATTCACAGGAATCACAGACAGAAACATGATGCCTCCATCAGCTGTAGCTCTGGCAGAGAACACCTGAGAGTAACTTGTTAATAATGGGGTTTTTTTACACCTGAGACGTGATGGGATTCTGTTGTGATGACAGTACATGAGATGTTATCATAAATACCCTCTGGGTCTGTCTTTTTTTCTTTTGTAAATTAATTTGACCTGAAATAACCCAGAGTCAGAACAAACACTGTATTATTACATAGCTTTATTGTACTTCCTTGATTTTTTTTCTCAGTGACAATGACAGCTCTCTGGAAAACATTCATTCAGATGAAACTGATACCACAGTGTCTGTAAAGAATAACTTTCTCTTCCCCACTTACTGTATAGAGGAAGTCGGCCTTAACGTAACCAGTGTTCAATTGGTATGCACTTACAGAAGAACTGTTAAAGGCAAACAGTGTGTAGGCACACACTATAAATACTGATGAACGATTTACAGAGAAAGTTTCATTTTCTTGTAAATCACTAGCTGAGCGGCTGGCTTGTTTGCCTACTGTTTAAACTGTCTTGGACTTTCCCTGAAGCACTTACAGGAAAATGAAAAAGCTGATGGTGTGATTATGATAGGACAAGCCCTCCTGTCAGATTCAAGTTTTACAGGCATAAACATGTCACTGCATAACTGCATTCTGCACTGCAGGAAAGGACATGTCCTACTGTGGAGACAGTTACAACTCTGCTAATGGACCAAATGTGCCATGTTGTGAAGTCCACCGATCATGCAACTTAATTTGAGCAGTTACTTTTAAGCATGTTTTATTGATTAAATTACACTTGAGCTTGAAATGAAGTTAATTCTAATAATGTAAACATGAACTGAGAGTGCACCAAGAAGTAACCACAACAGTGAAGTTGATATGGTGAACAGGTTGTTTATTTACACCTCCAGCAACTCCTCTAACTATGCCTCCCTGCCCCTCTCTGCCACCCTCCCAAACTTCACCCAGTATGTTAATAAACATTAAACTTTGGACCTACTTTGGCCAGGAATGCACACACCCCCTGACCACAGACTGTGGTATTGATTGTGGGAGCGATATCTTGTTCCTGATTTCTCTGAAATGCTTGTACTGTCTTGTTTTTGGGTATTCCTGATTTGTTTTTCAGAGATCCTTGTGGTGTCTGCTGTTCTTATGGTGTCTGTTGTTTAGTCTCTACTGCTGTTGATATACAGGGTTTCTCCCCATTGTGGAATTAATTGTGCAAGTAATATTCTTGTTCTTGATTTCTCTCAAGTGCTATGTTTTGTCTTGTTTTTTTTTTATACCTTTGATGTGCTTCTCAGTGTCCCTATTGTGTTTTGTTGTTCTTGTGGTGTTTTGTTGTTTGCTCTCTATTGCTGCTGGAATACTGGAATTTCCCCATTGTGGGATCAATAAAGTCTTACCTTACCCTACCCCCTATCCAGTCATTCTAGTTGTTATATGTACAGTGGTTGTTTGACTTGTTATTATAAAAAGAGGATGAAACAGTTTTGGGACATAATTTTGGAATCAGTTATAGTGATGAACCCAAAGAAACCTATCAACCCATGCTGCTGTTCTCCCACACTCTAACATATTTCACTGTCTACTTGTTTCCCATATCAGTGTCCACAGATTTACAAGACCCGTGTGACTAGCAGATGCTCAGCATCTGTGGTGAACTAGGATTCCACTTCCACTTTCATTGTATAGAGTAGCAATAGAGGACATCTATAGGAAATTTGTTCCAGCTGAAAAAATGTTTGGGGAGCTGGGTTTTATTTTTGTGTGGTCTGCGATGACCTGATCCAGTCCTACACGCACTATGAGAAACACACACAGGATGCTTGTGAACATTAGCAGCCTTGTTTCTTTGGCCTTGAGGACAGTTTGTGGCTGTCAAAAGAAGGTCAAAGGTTCAAATAAAGTTGGAAGAGCTTCCTGTTCTTCTCTAAGGTCCAAAAACAATTTGAAGAAAAAAGAAAAAACAGGCAAGTGTAAGGATGTGAGTGACTTTGACAAGGGCCAAACTGTGATGCTAGATGGCTGGGTCAGAGCATCTCCTAGACTGCAGGTCTTGTTGGGTGTTCCCAGTTTGCAATGGTTAGTACCAACTAACAGTGGTTTAAGGAAGGACCAGCAGTGAACTGGTGACAGGGTCATGGTCGCCCACAGCACACTGATTCACATGGAGAGCAAAGGCAAACCCATGGTTTTCAATCCTACAGAAGAGCTACTGTAGCACAGATAGCTGGAAAACCTAATGCTGGTTCTAACAGAGAGGTGTCAGAACATGCAATGCATTGCAGCTTAATGTGCATAGGGCTGCGTAGCCATAGCCGTGTCAGAGTTCCCATGCTGATCCCTATCCACTGCAAAATGCACCTACGTTAGGCATGTGAGCATCAAAACTGACTACAGAGGAATGAAAGAAGGTGGCCCGGTGTGATGGATCACATTTTCTTTTAGATCATGTTCTCGAGATTGAAATACATCAAATTTATTATGTGCACATCTGGATGGTTTCAAGGTTTCACTTGTCGTTTCGTCAAAGCCTCCTCTGTCAGAAGCTGCTGTGGGTTTGGCCAGCAGCTAGCCTGACAGCACCCTGACCTTACACCGCTCTGGGTCTCCTACTAAACAGATGATGGTAAATCCTGAGTCAACACCCTGCAGCTGCAGAGAACATCACATTTAGAAAAAAAAACACAAGCACTTTCAGAAACATGTTTACTGCAGCTACTTGAAAGCATGACACTTAAAGAGATGCAAACACAGAAGATGTACACAGCATGCTGAACGTTAGTTACAACACAAGAGGGAGACTAAAGATGATCAGTTTGCTCAGACCCGCCAATTACTCATGGTGCTGGAATGCAAACTAAGAGTTTGGTTATTTTTTATGGTCCATGACATTTTTCCTTGACTTTGGAAACAGCTGACAAACTCTCAGCTCGAGGTCTTCTTGCTTGGCTGTATCACAGTCTTCACCAACAGAATAGTTCTGCACTAAGTCATCAGACTTCTTCTGCTGAAGAATATGTGAGATAGTCAAAAGTGTCAAAGTGAACTTTGAGGTGTTTTGTCGTGTTTAATTTTAACAATCTGACTGCATGAGTACCACAGTGTGAAGCTGTTCATTATGTGTCTACAATGATTTTGTTGTTGTGTGCAACTTGTGGCGTTGGCAGTGCATTTGTTGTCATCATATTTTATTTTATTTCATTTTATCTTGCTTGAGTGTTATTCATTTGTATTCACTCATTCAGTTTTGTTTTGTTTTATTAAATTACATGGCATCAAAACCTCCTAGCACCAGTTGCTTCATCTTATGTCATCACCCAATAAGTGGCTCCTACCAGCTGCCACCAGGTAATGAGTGATGGCCAGGTGATATGTTTCAGTTTTAATCAGAGGCCACAAGTAGAAGTTACAAAATAATATCAAACTTTATTTTAAAATAACTCCCAACAATAAATTTGACATACATAATTGTCAATATTTTGCACATCTTGTCCCCAAAACAGCTCAATAAGAATACAGAACTGTACAGTCAGTCTGAAGTCACCGGCATGAAGGCTCAAACAAAGTATCATCATAACCAAGATGAAGTGATGCTTCCTTGGTCTGATTGTCTCAAACTGTTCTGATCTTCTACAGTGCACCACGGCTATGCAGAGAAAAGGAAATGAAGCTGGCTTCTGTCTTCAGCTCTCAGTGTAGACTCTACACTGTAGAGCCTGCTCCTCTCTACACCTGCAATTGAGAAGAGCAGTGCGTGATTAGCCAATGCAAGGCTGGGGGATAACCTAAACAACACTGTAAGAAGAGGCTAAAGACAGGTCTGCATGTGCAGCTTTGTTTTTGAAGCTCAGCTAAATTAATTACTAAATAAATGTACCTCATTGCTGCTGGGCTCGTTTTTTGTTATCCAGAAATGTAATGTGTCTTTGCACCCATTCTCCCTTGCTGGGGTGGACTACACACAGTTTCTTTCCAGCCCTTGTAATAAACCTGAAAATGCAGATGAGATAGAAAGAGGTGAGATGAGGCTGCAGACTAAAATACAGTCATGAACTTTTGTTCTTCAGAAAAAAGACAGGCTACAGTACATGTTCAGTAAAAGATGTGAAGGAAACTTTCCTTTACCTAATCATTTTATGTAAATATTTAACATATTGTTGCCACTTACGCAGTAGCACTGATGTCACAGCCCTTTCCAGCTTCCTGAATGCTGTAGCCTACAAGGATATGGCGAGGCAGAAACTTCTTAGTGGTATCCAGACAGCAGTCGAGCACGATCTCAGCTACAGGACGAAACAAGTTCATTAAATTAAATTGGCAGTAGGTTTATCTGTGAAAGTGAAAAAGCTCATGTGCCGTGCATTCATCTGGAACACTTTGTGGAAGAACTTAGCTGTGCATGTAAAATAAATCAGCTTTTTATTTTTAAAATATCCAGTATCTGCAGGTGCAATGACAAAATATGGCAGTTTCAGGCTGGAACAGGTGAGGCAACCTAGACCTGCCATCAGAGCATTCTTAAATATGCACTTCTAACATTGTCTCTGTGTGCAAGTGTGTCTTACCTGCTGCAAACCCAGTGCAGATGATACCCAGCAAGAGCAGAGCTGCAACTCGAGAGGCCATGTCTCTGTTTCTTTGTAGGTCTGAGCTCAGGTCGGCTGCTGCAGCAAGTCTCTTCAGGAGTGTGAAGGTGTTGGTGTGAGGAGGAGAGGGGATCTGCAGGTGCATTTATACAGGTGTGTGAGAGAAAGTGAAAGTATGCTCGTTGACTGGAAATGGGAAAAAGTTGGCACCAGGCTCACACATGCCCAACCAGTAACCTCATTACTACTTCTCTCTTTTTTGTCTTGCCAAAACCGTTGTGTGTCTACCTCCAAATGCAGCCCCAAGGCTAGTCTTTATCCGAGATTTGTCTTTCATGAGAAACACTCCTCATGCTTCATACAGTCCATGCATGCAATACACATGCATTAGTTCATTCATAAACACAAGCAAGATCCAACAAATATATGTTTTCCATATTCAAAAATGTGCTTTTCACTATTTTACAGTTATTTGCAAGGGCTCTTCTTGTCAGTGAAATGACTGTTTCAATTTGATTGATGACAAAATAAAACGTGAGGTGCACTGATTTCCTGTTTAGTGACAATAAATCATGTGTAGCCTACTGTGTGCCAACAACATACTATAAACCAAGCCATTAATCCTTATCTTTACAACTTGGATCTTGTTTTCTCAGTAATATTCCCAGATTTTATCAAATGATATCAGTGTGATGACAGTATGCACTGGGGATTTTTCAAGGACAACAGTGGCCTATACACACATCCAGCAGACAGCACTTAAATTTGTGTGAGTGTGAGTGGATAATAATCTGTGAGCGTGGGAGTTGCTGAACAACTGGAGAGAAACATTTCCCGCCAGAAGCTTAGGTTTTGCCAAGAGTGATGCAACCAGCAAGGCTGTAGGACTGGACATAGTTTAAACTTATTTTACAAGAAGTTCTAAAAACGCTACCTTCTCTCTCCTCTGTCCACTCACCCCAGGTGGTAGAGGCACACGGCCACCCACCAAGAGCTTCTGTTTCTTCCACTAAAGGGAGTTTTTCCTCTTCACTGTCACCAAGTGCTTGTTCAAGGGGGTTTTCTCTATCCCGGTATAATGTCTAGATCTCACTATGTAATGTGCCCTGAGATAATTGTTGTGATTTGTCGCTATAGAAATAAAACTTAATTAAACAGAAAATACATTGATATTTCCCTCTAGGAATACATAGGCAGAGTGATATTTGATCTGCATTTGATGGGTTGCCAGGAACTTTAACAGTGTAACTGCCTCCAAATGGATGCTAATGTTGCTCTGTAGTTGCTGGATGTGTGTATAGGCCACTGTTGACTTACATGTAAAATAAAATAGTAATTATAACAGCTTGTGATTTTAGGAATTGTGTTAGAGCTCACTGAGTAACAGTTGATCTACCTGCCAAGCATTTCTGTTCTTGTGCTTTAGTGTGGGTTGGCAGATGATCGATTAACAGAGCTTTTCTTTTTCTCACCAAACCTGGCAACCTGACTATACGACATTTTGGAAGAGAACATGTCATCACTGTGACCGGCTGCCGTCCCCCAGGAAATAGATGCAACATTTAACTTCTTATAAATCTGCTAAATTGGAATTCTTAGGTTTGTTTGTTTAAACAGACAAGATATGCCACTTTAGTTTTTAAGAGCAATTTAAATGTGTTAGTCGTTGCATTTTTTAGCTTTGGACAGCACCAGGTTATCTGCTTCCCCCGCCTTCAGTTTGTATGATAAGCTAGGTCTAATTGCTTCCTGATTGCAGCTAATTTTTAAAGGAATAACCTTTTGCTGAGAGTTATTGAGTGTCTGCCCAGTGAAGCCACTGGACCACCAGAGGCCTGCTGTAAACAGGTAGAAGGAGCTAGGCTGGCTTTGTCCAGGTGTATCAAAATCCACTTGTGAAGCTCAATAATTCAAAAATATTATATCTAATTTGTTTCATGTATACAAACAGCATGCTGTGGTTTTAGGTGGGGTGGGGGGGGTGGGGGGTTCTGAAACGGTTGTGGCAACATCCTGACCTTTTCTGCAGTGTGTAATATGTCATCTTCCACATTAACAGACCAGTATACGTTAAAGGTTTCATTATGGTCACTGGGTTATTTCTGTTCCGAGGAAGCTGAAGTTAAACAAAATAAGGAATTGGCAACTCAGAGAAATGACGAAATGACTCATGGTATTACAGAGAAATGGGCTCACTGAGAGGTTAACTTGCACATCCCAGTCTTTTGCATTCAGTTATGCAACCTGAACAGTCAGTTATGTCAACATGACACATCAGGAGGTCTGATCATAGACCAAATGAAGATGAGGGGGTAATGATGTAAAACTGGATGTCTGAAAGTTTGGCTCAAAGCCAAGCTTAAAGGTATAGTCTGGTTATTTTTTATATTTACAACATTTTCAACACTCCCCATACAGAGACAATGTTGCTCCAGATAGTCATATCGTTTTACAGCACTGGAAGTAAGCAAGACCCAAGGGCCCATGCAAAAGATCTCTGGGTATTTTTAACAAATATTAGGGTCTTGCATTTCACAAAATGATGAAACATACAGCAGCACGGTGGCACAGTGGTTAGCGCCGTTGCCTCACAGCGAGAAGGTTCCGGGTTCGGGCCCCACCTGGGACCTTTCTGTGTGGAGTTTGCATGTTCTCCCCGTGCTTGCGTGGGTTCTCTCCGGGTGCTCCGGCTTCCTCCCACTGACCAAAGACATGCAGCTTAGGTTGATTGGTGTCTCTAAATTGCCCATAGGAGTGCGTGCGTGTATGTGTGGTTGTTCGTCTATGTGTTAGCCCTGCGATGGATTGGCGACCTGTCCAGGGTGTACTTCGCCCGATTGCCGGCCGGGATTGGCTCTGGCCCCACCCGTGACCCCGTTCAGGGACTAAGCGGTAGAAAATGAATGAATGAAACATACAGTATGTGCAGTGGTGTTCCTCCCCGGTGTGTTTTAATTGTTTCTGAACAACAGTGGAGGTCTATGGCACAGATGAATAAGATAATCCAGGACTGACAGATTGACAGACGTTAAATGTGAGTAGAGATAAATCATTGTTCATTGTGTGGGGTGACTGTGGTTTAGCGGGTAGAGCAGTTGTCTTCCAACCGGAGGGTTGGGTTGGGGGTTCAAATCACGGGGCCTGCAGTCCATGTGTCAAAGTGTCTTTGAGCAAGACACTGAACCTTCAAGTTGCCCCTGATGGTTAGAACCATCAGTGTGCGTTGGAGCCACAGATGGCTGTTTTGGTTCTGTACTGGAGACAAGTTCCTTGTGTGTGTAACATGCTTGGCCAAATAAAAATGATTATTGTTAGTTTAGTGTTGAAAATACTGTTAAAATAGAAAATGACCAGTTATCCTTTAACTCTGATATGCAAAAAGCTCCACCTTTTCTTGTTACCTGTTGTATTATTTGGCGCTGTTCCTAATAAAACAGTCTGGAAACATCAAGTAACACTTCTTTTTCAGCCAAGGTAAATATTACATACAAATCTGGTTGAGATCTGGCAGAGACCCATGGTTTTAATGTTCAAATGACAGTTTTGTTCACCTTTGCACAATTAAAGAAAGACTATCCTCATTCTCTCAGATAGGTAGACACTTGTGGATTTGTTGTCGTTCCACTGAATATGCATGACCAGACAACCACACAATCAAAATCTGAAATTAATCAGGTCAAGCCTTGCTTCCTCTTCATTGTCACATCACACCACCTCCTGACGTTTTTAATGACACTTCCACTAACTCTTGCAGCTCTTCTTTGGAGAAATGATTGAATGTAAACTGAGATACTGAACCTGATATCAAGTCTGTAAAAGGAATGAAATTAATAACTGAAAGATGTAACTATTCTCCCTGTGCCTGCGTGGGTTTGCTCCAGATACTCCAGCTTCCCCCCACAGTCCAAAGACATGCAGCTTAGGTTGCCCATAGGAGTGTGTGTGGGTGTGTGTGTGGTTGTCTCTCTCTACATGTCTCAGCCCTGTGATAGACTAGCTATCTGTCCAGGGTGGACACTGCCTCTCGCCCAGTGTCAACTGGGATTGGCTCCAAACCCCCCGCCACAACCTTCTTCAGGATAAATGGTATAGATAGTGGATGGATGGAAGATGTAACTACAGTATCTGCATTGATCACCCCACAAAGCATTCAGGGATACACACTGCACTTCAGAGATCAGCTCTCATCAAACTGTAGGCAACACCATTATTTATCTTGCAGGTGGTGAGCTACCTTTCATTTTAACCTACTGTACAAATACTTATTCTTATCACTTACTGCTGCAAAAACACCAAAGTATTTCCTCCAGAAAAGGCCAGACACTGAGCATCTAATGTAAAATCTCTCATTAGTGAACTCTTTCACTATGGCTTTCGGTTGGTCTGTCAGTCAGTTGGTCCATGACTGAAATATCTCAACAATTATTGGATAAACTGCCCTTAAATTTCATACACAGATTTGTGGTCCCAAAGTCTTTAGAAATCCCCTGACTTGTCCTCTAGTTCCACCAGCAGGTCAGACTTTTAACGTATCCTGTGAACTGTCCACTACATTTGAATTTGAGACAGATCTATGGTGTCTCCTCCTGACTTTGGTGACCTCGTCAGTTGTCAGCTAGTGCCACCATAATGTTGATACTAAACCACTAACAGCTTTGGATGGAGGGTGAAATGTGGTGCATTCATCTTCCCCTCAAGCTGATCTGTAAAATAAATGTGGCATAAAACCAAAACAAAAAGCTAAAAGAAGATGAAAAGCTGCAGGGAGCTTCAATATTGTGTGAATTCATCCCCTTCACATTATTCATAGTCATTTGATTTGCCATGGACAAATAAATAATTGGGGTATTAACATTTTGAATAAAAAATAACCTCCACATCTAAATACAAAAACACCTTGATGTTTGCATTCACGTTCTCTATGGTGGCCTGATCCATGAATGCATTTGTTCACACCCAGAGAGTAACCGTCTCCTCTGCTTGCACAAGCAAACCTCCATGAATACAGTGTCACACTGAAGAAGTAGGAGGAATGGGAGTGTAAACAAGGTGGCAGAGACACGTGATTTTCAGGAAAGCAGGGACTAATTTCATATCTGGGTTGAGTTTTTTGTTAAGTGCTTATAAAGTAGAAAAAAGGGGAAGCAGACAGGAATGGATTCGTGCTGTGCAGGGAACAAAGCCCTGAGGCTGTTAT